GGCGGGGGAGAGCTGGTAGGGGTCCAGGACGCAGGTCTGGAAGCTGCCGTCCATCTGGATGTAGGTGTACTCGCCGGCGATGGGGCGCAGGGCGGAGGTGCCCATCTGGATGGTGACGCGGGTGCCGCCCAGCATGAAGATGGATGAGCCGTCAAAGAGGCCCACGTTGCTGGGGCCGTGCCGGGGGGGGGTGGCACGGCGGCGGGGGAGAGCTGGTAGGGGTCCAGGACGCAGGTCTGGAAGCTGCCGTCCATCTGGATGTAGGTGTACTCGCCGGCGATGGGGCGCAGGGCGGAGGTGCCCATCTGGATGGTGACGCGGGTGCCGCCCAGCATGAAGATGGATGAGCCGTCAAAGAGGCCCACGTTGCTGGGGCCGTACAGCTGCGTGTACCGCAGCACGTCCGCCTGGCGCGCGGCGTAGGAGCAGTCGGAGCGCCAAGTGTCGATCACCGTGCTGTCGTACACCATCAGGCTGCCGGCCATGAAGTAGAGGGTGGGGAAGACGTTGCTCTGCAGGGGGCGCACCATCGCCGCGCCCACAACGGCGGGGAGGTAGCGCGAGGCCAGGTTGGCGATGTGGATGTTGCTCAGCACCAGCGTCCCACCCTGGACCACCAGGAACACGGGCCAGAGGCCGCCGAAATCCAGCGTACTCACGTCGGGGTCCACCGTCAGGGTGCGGGAGGTGCTGTTGAAGGTGACCTCGCCTGGAGATGGGGTGGGGGTCCGGGGCAAGGTCGAGAAGGAGCTTTGGGGTCAAGGGTGTTCAGGGTAAGGCAGAGGGGCGGGGGGCGGCAACCAGCCCAACTCCTCCTGCAGGGGAGGCTGTCCACCCCTGTCGAGAGTCCCATTCCGTACCTTCGGATGTGAGCGTGACGGAGCGCTGGCTCACCTCGATGACCTGGCCAGCGGGCCATGTCTCGTTCGTCAGGGTGAGGTTGCCTGCAGGGAAAGGGGAGGGAGTAGGCCGGGGTTCAGCGTCGCACGCTCCCTGGCGAGCATACCCGGGATCGGGCTTCCCAGCGCGCGCCTGCCCCCACTCACGTATAATTACGATCTCTGTCACACTCGTGTCGTTTCCGGCCAGCCACAGCTCCTCCGCCGTCTCCACGTACACGCGCGGGGATGCCGCTCCTGCCACGAGCAGGGGGACCAGTCCCAGCACCAGCAGGGCCGCGCCTGAGGGACCCCATCGGGCCTGCATGCCTGGTAGCTAGCGCTCTATTTCAGCGGGAGTCATGGCGATGTTTCGCCGACTGTTGACGGGGCCGCTGGGCCAGGGGATCATGTCCCGAAGTGGCCGCTCCGCCGCGCCGGGGCAGGCCTGCTCGCGCGCTCGCTCGAGCCGAGGATCAAACCTGGGAACGTTCGCTTCCCGCTTATCTTTCCCTATCCTCTGCGATGGGAAGTGCTCTGTAAAATCCACAGCATGCTCACCCAATTCACCCCGGCCGGGCAGTGCCTGCGCATGCACAGAGACTGGCCGGGTGGGGACCGCCACACCGCACAATCAGCGCAAGCATTCATGCACTCATACCTCCAGCTCCTTCAGGAGGGCTGCAGCCCTGCCCTGCCAGCTGGTAAGCGCCTCGCGCGCGCGGCCTGACTCGGCACCGCCCTCCAGAGGCAGCTCGGCAAACTCGAGCAGGGCGGCCTGCAGGGCCGCGTCCGACCCCGCCTTCTGCCGCTTTGACGCCGAGACCTCACTGTCAGCCTAGAGATAGTCAGGCGCGGCAGGACGGGCTGAGACAAGTAGCATGCGGGTGCCTGGCTGCCGCGACACGAACAGAGGCACATGCGTCATGCAACGGTCTCGCACACCAGGCACGCTGCATACCACAGCGCTGCATGTGGCACAATTGTACCGAGATCTCAGTATCCCCCCACACCTGGTGCTTATCGGACGCGGCAGCCGCCGCCGCCTTCCTGGCCGCCTCCACGATGGCAGGGGGGAACCTGGCGAATTCCGCGACGTGGATGCCGAAAGACTTGTCGCAGGACCCCTCCTCCACCTGGTACAGCATGGTGAGCGCGCCGGAGGTGTGGTCGATGGCCGCGCCCACGTGCAGGTTCTTCACGCCGCCAGCCCCCCGCAGCGCCGTCAGCTCGTGGAAGTGGGTGGCAAACAGGGTGGGGCAGCCAATGCCGTTCATGAGGTGCTCGGAGATGGCCCACGCCAGACCCATGCCGTCCCTGTGGGAAGGGGGGGGGAGGGGGGGGTGGGAGGCAAGGCGCATTGGGCATTTGAGGGCGCGCGTCCATCCTGCCATCACACATCTGTTACCCCGCTCCTGGACGCTTTTTCGGCCCTCACCAAGTGGATGTGCCCCTCCCAAGCTCGTCGATGATGACCAGGGAGGCTGGCGTGGCGCCCTACATTTGAGGCAGCGGCGGAATCATGCGAGACAGCGAGAAACGCAGGGACCCATGAGCTCTGCACTTCACACGCACGTTCACGGCCCACCACCATTCCCCCTCACCTTGAGGATGGCCGCGCTTTCCAGCATCTCGGCCATGAAGGTGGAGACGCCGCGGGCCTGGCTGTCCCCGGCGCCCACGCGCGCGAAAATGGCGTCCCGCACGGCGATGCTGGCCTGGGTGCAGGGCACCCAGGACCCCACCTGCGCCAGCAGCACCGAGATGCCGACCTGCATGACGTGCGGGGTGGGGCGCTTGAGTATGGGATTGGGTTCCTGAGGGGCAGCAACTCTACAGGCGGGTTGCTGGGGGCGGAAGGACAAGGGCCGCACTGGGTTGGGGGAGGATGATACATCGGAGCGGCCAGACGCCAACCCAGGCCATGGAGAGCATGGAGTTCCTAATGCTGCTGCTCGGAGACTCCCTATACCACCACCCAGGGCCCTGTCACCTAGACATTGCATCCATCTGGTCACTGCATCAGTGCCCCTACCCAAGGTCGCTGGATCATTCCCACCTCCCCGACCACACACCTGCCGGATGAAGGTGCTCTTCCCACCCATGTTGGGGCCGGTGATGATCTGGAACCAGCTCTCCCCGCGCTGCATGACGCAGTCGTTTGGAATAAAATCGACGCCCTCCTGCAGCTCCACACAGGGGTGCCGGCAGCCGACCAGCTCCACGCGACCCCCTGCAGTGAGGCGTAGCGCCTGGGTGTGGATAACTGTGGCAGCAGACCAGGATGCGGGGGTGGCAAGGGCTGTATGAGCATACCATGGGTCAAGCGATGAGGGTTGTGATGCTCCCCGACTTGGCCGAGGTATCCAGGCACACTGATTGTCGCCCATGTCTTGGCCGAGGTGCATACAAGCAGCCAGAGTGCCGCAGGATCCATGGAAACTAGCACAGCGGCCGCTCCCCAGCCTCGCCGAGCAAAGCTCCGGTGCAACAGCCATCCCAAACACCCCACTCCGCACCGTCGGCGGGCAGCAGGGAGGGCCGGACGTAGGGCCTGGGGGCGGTGACAGCGACGTCCGCAAACGCCACCAGGACGTCCAGCTCAGCGAGTACGCTGCGCACCTGCTCCCACACCTGGCAGAAGGTGGCCGCCACAGACACCACCTGCGGCCGGGGGTGGGGTGTAGGAGGGGGCGAAGCTGGGCTGGAATTTGAAGCTGGGTGTGCGAGAGGTGGAAGCCGGGCCGGGCCCGTGCGCAGATTCTGTGTTCAAGGGGAAACTCGTCCCTTCACACCCGTGCGCACACTGCACAGCCCCCACACAAGGGAGAGCCGGGGGCCAGCAAGGTCCTCTGACCACACGAAAGATGCCCCCATGTCCCTCCTTCCCTTGCCCGGCCAACCCACCTGCGCCACGAGAGTCGACTGGCGCGAATCGTACTCGGATGCTAGTGCCTGCAGCCGCTCGGCGGCCGCCTTGAGCGCCTTGTTGGTGAACTTGAGGCCATCCTTGCGGGTCTCAAGCTCGAGGTATCGGGCCTGGGCAGGGAGTGGATGGGCTCAGGGCGTGGTGCCCGCCGGTGCGTGGGTGAATGCGCTCAAGAGCAGCCAGTCTTTGGTCGACCCATCGCTGGTGACAGCAACTGGAAAGGCAGGCAGCATGGGTCACCACCTGAGACACCCACATTCCAACCTCCCCCCTCCTCACCCGCAGCTTGGACCGGACCGACTTCTCCTCCTTCGTGGTGATCCTGAGACACCGCAGGCGCTGGTTGGCAAACTTGTGCCACTCCAGCCTGGAAGGGGAGAGGGGGGTTGGAGGAGGATCCAGTGGGAGGTGGATTTGAAGGCAGCTGGCTGGACTTTTCAGGATCATAACAAGACCGATGGCTGGAGAGTGCAGGCGGCACGCCGCCCTCGCCTGGGGACAACAGCATGGCAACGCTTCACAAGACATGTATCTGCAGCTTGACGAGACTCCAGACCGCCCAGCACTCACTTGATGGTCTTGTCCAGGCACAGCCCCAGGTCCTGGGCGGCCTCCTCCGCCAGGCCCTGGATCTTCTTCTCCAGGTTCAGCTTCTCCACCTCCACCTCTTGCAGACCCTACATCATGCGGGTGGGGCGCCGAGGGTGTGTGCAGGGCCTTGGTTCTGCAGCAGGCACGCCTGGGCGCTGGGCCACAGGGAGGGTCTGACAGCTCCACACACGCGATGGCGAAAGGCCACACCACCCAGCCCTCCTCATCATGCGTTCGCACCGGGTCGTAGCTGGCGGCGATGAGGTACTCATCTGGGATGCGGTCCAGGTCGATCGCCGTCTCCAGCAGCGCCTCGAAACGCACGAGGTGGTCGGCGTCGTGGGCCAGGGCCAGGGGGTCGGCGAATCTGAGCGGGGTCCACATGGGGAGCCGACTCAGGCATGGATGGAGCTGCCACAAATGGAGCCCTGAACCGCAGGCAATCCTGGACTCTTTGACCTTTCCTTGCAGGGCGGGACCGAGCGTCACCTCCCTCACCCAGGCCCCCGCCTCGCAACCCACCTCTCCATCAGGGTCGAGGCGTGTGGCCCTGAGTGCGCCCGGAGGACGGCCTCGATCAGGGGCAGACGTGAGGAGGCGCGGTACAGCTGGCACAGGTCGCTGAGGGAGGCCTTGCCGCGCTCCAGCTTCCGCGACAGCATCTCCAGGTCCGGCAAGCCTGTGGGCAAGCGCAAGTGGGGATTGAGAGAGTGCAAGGTGAGGCCCACTGACCTCAAGCTGTTGGCCAGGAGGAGGGGCCTGTCTTGAGCCCCGGTGCAAGCCAGGCCCACCGGCAAACACCCGTCAATCACACCCTGAGCCTTGCCCCTCCTGCATCATGCAGCTGATCCAGCCATTATACCACCGGGGCCTTCCCCGCTATGCCATCCCGTGCCCACACCTCTGAGGTGCATCTGCTGCAGCGCTTGGCGCAGCTCCGCATCCCCCACCAGCGCCTCCACCACATCATGCCTCATCCTCAGGGTATCCAGGTCGAGCAGCGGCTGCTTCAACCAGGTCTGTGCGAGGTAGATGGAGGATGGATACGGGAGGGGTGGCAGCGGTGGGATGAACTTTCACACAGAGCATGTGCCTTCATCTGGCTGGTGACATGCCGCTCCGTCCCCCATACATGCAAAGACTCACCCTGAGCAGGCGCTTCCCCATGGCGGTCTTGCCCCGGTTTAGCAGTCCAAATAGCGAAAAGGTGTCTGAGACGTCGCCCCGCCCCCGCATCACGCTCAGTGCGCGCTGTGAGAGGAGTAGATGAGGGCAATGGGGGGGAGTGATCTACACCTCATGGTCACAGGGCGCCAGCGGCCTCTTGCCTTCGCCCTCTCGGATCACACCTGGTCTCCCGGGGTAAAGAGGCCCAAGTCCATCCCCCCCCACCTCCACCCACTCCCTCAACCCCCGCCATCATCACCACCCACACCGCCCACCCACCTGGGCGGCGGCATCCATGCGCATGAACTTGCCCAGGTCCAGCCGGTCCAGGCCGTACTTGCCATGCCCCGACCCGTCGGCCAGCAGCTCGCCAAAGGCCAGCACGCCGGCCAGGGCCGCGGAGGCATGGTGCCCCTCCAGCACATGCCGGTGCTGCTCCAGGGTTCCCGGGAGCAGCAGGCGCTGCAGGTCCTGGTCCAGGTTGCGCGCCGAGAAGGACGCACGCGGGCGCGGCGCGGGGGCGGCGCCCGTCCGCGCCAGCACGTCCATGGCCCTGTGCAGATCCAGGGACTGGGCGCCGGGCTGCCCCGCCTCAGACGCCGTGTCCTGCCGGATTGGGGGGGGTTGAAACTTGGGCACCATGTCTGGGGGACGGGCGAGGCGCCGGTGCGCGTAGCGCACCGCCGCTTGCATGAGGAGTACAAGAAACCTCCGTGAGAATCTGGCAGCGGGTGCGTCTGACTCAAACCCTTCAGCGCCCACCCACAGGACCATGCGCACCTTGACGACCGCGCACTCGCGCACTCCCAGCTGCACCAGGGCGCTCTCCAGGTGGTTGAAGTGGTCGTCGTCGGTGAACTCGACCGTCCTCAGCACGCGTGCCCCGGGGTCAACGTACGCCAGGCCCACCGTGCGTAGACCTGCACGGAAGCCGGGGGTGGCAGTGCCGGGTGGCATCTGTTGGCACAGGCTTGGACAGACCACGACCTACCCATCCTATCATATCGCACCGACATTACGATACAACCAGCTCAACAAAGGTTGTGCAGCAGCAGCGATCTGGTGTGTGACACACGACAGCCGAGATGGATCTTCACCACATCTCGGACTCCTTCCAGAGACGAGGACTCCATAACCCCACCGACCTTCGGTTTGCCCTAGAGACAGGGCGGCCAGGAGGGGGACCTCCCCAAGATCCCCTGATCGAGTCAGCTCGGCCTCAAAGTCACTCAACAAGCTAGGAGAGCCCCTCCTGCAAGTCAAGGGTGGAATGGTGGAGGATCATGTGAATGGATGCGGGGACACTGTAGTGCTGGGGCAGAAGCACATCAGGAACTTGGACACCTTGGATCCAAGGCAAGTGAAGGCGCCCCAAGACAGAACACCTCGCTGTCCTGGCTGGCCCTGATGAGTCAGAGGGCCACACCAGCCCCAGGGAACCGACGTACTTGGTGCATGACCAGTTAGTCCCCGCCCCCTCATAGAACTCCACACTGTGCTCGCCGGGGTCAATCAACAGGTAGCGCAGGGTGGAGGGGAGCAAGGCCCAGCTCAGTGTCACCCCTGGATGGGTTGAGAGTCGTCAGGCAAGTAGAATGTATTGATTGGGGTGGCAGGTTTAAAACCTTGTAGGGCGATCGGCAACAGGCTGCCACCAGTGCTGCGTCTCATCAGCATCTGTGGCTCACCCAGGGTGCCCTGCTGCACTGATCAAACAGCTTCAAGCTCACCTGGAAGGCCGTTGTCTGCCACACCGCTGCGGGACACCTGGGCTGTGCTGCGATACAGGTGCTTGGCAAGCGCGTAGGCCACCTCTCCATGCACAGACAAGCATGACTTGCGGTCGAAGATGCGGACCAGACCAGCTTGCTGTGGGAGTGCAAAACCAATAAGAATTCTGGACTCGTGCATGCCAAGGTCCGGGGCATGTGAGGCAAAGCCCAAGCATGAGGTGGTGGGCTTGCACTGGCGTGCACACACCCATGCCCTCCCTCCATATCACCACATGGCGGGAGCCTCCTCACCTGCGGCAGAGATGCATACCAGTTTTCAAATGCAGACTGGTCTACGCCGGACACTTCCAACAGCGGCGCCTCCTCCGGCATGGCTCAGGCGAGTTGGCGTTCACAGAGAAAGGTGTCCGAGATCACTTCGGCGGAGGTGTACGTCCCATCCACCTCTCCAGCACTTCTAATCGAGCACAACCTCTCTCCTCGGCTGTACAGGGTAACGATTTCCATCGAGCATGCAGGGCCGGGAGCAGGGATTCGAATCGCGAGGTTTGATGAATTGTGCCATGCTGCGGCGTGCGGGGATTCAAGTCCCATTCCACAAGGGCAGTGTTCCTACAGTGCTGAGGGCAGCAGAATGGCATGTTGGATGTATATAAACAGAAAGTTCTAGTTTATGAGTATTATTTGATGCCGTGGCTGGAGTGTTGACAGGAAGGATGTGCCCCTTGGCTTGCGAGGACCCCAATGGACCGGGTTTCGGTGAAGCGGAACGACAAGGCCGCTGCTTGGCGAGACAAGGTCAGTGAGGAGGATCGTCTGTGCAATGATTGCACTTTCAACCGTCGACTCTGCAGACATTGACGCCGTGATCCGATTTACTCCATCGTTGTGCAGCTCCGGAGCGAGTGTCTGGCACGGGTACGCGAGCAGCGGCAGTCTATTCTGGACAAGTTGAGAGCCAGCAGGGAAGAGACGCATGAAGGAGGGCGAGCCTCCCTCAACCTGATTCTACATAATGCGCTCGATTCACGAGAAAATGGAGACAGAAGCCTGGCCATGGATTACACACTCCCTGGACCGGAGTATGAAGAGCTCATGCAGGTAAGTGTTTAGGTAGTGTGGTCGTCAATACTGTTCACTGGCAAGGTAGGTTCGGGCATGAAGGTCTGTGGACCCGAAGTCTACAACAGGGCTCCCATTTTTGGCCTCATGTGCGCATAGTCCCTGGAGGAAGCCCTTTGGCAAGACGCCACTGCTCTGGGACACAATGAAAGCGACTACCTTGACGACCTGGAGGCAGCAGAGATGGAGGCAAGCTGGCAAGCAGCTGAGGCAGAGGGTTCCACCCCAACTCCCTGCCCATGCTGTGGCTATCATGCACTGTACAGTGGTCCTGGCGGCAGAGTCTCGTGCAAGGCATGCCACCTCCATCTTCAAGTTGCTTCCCTTGAGGCCCTGAGGGAGCTCCTCGCTGTTGTCCTGCAGGTCAGTCATGCACGGGGGTACATTGTCCATAGCAGTGCTCAAGGATGCGGCATCCTCCTGCCTCTGTCAGCATGGCCTCCCGGCGCATGATCACTACCTGCTTGTAGGTGTACACCAGCCCACGTGTGGACCCTGCGACATTCCCCCCATTCCTCACCTCCAACAGGAGCACTGGCAGAGGGGCTGCAGCCACACACCGTCCTTCCAGGCACACAGGAGCCAAGCAGGAGAGGCCACGCGCCTATGGGCCCGCTGTCAGGGCTGCGGCATGCGAGTGCAAGTTTTGTGATGCACAGCATCCCATCTGGCCGAGTAAACTGGTGCAGAGTTGAGCTTCGGTGCCACTGTGTGTTCGACGGTGGACAAACACCAGCTTTGCAGCCTTACAATGCTTGACCATGGCTTCACAAGACACCGTTGACGGAGGAATGTAGAAGATCCCGGCGCCGAGATCGTGCGGAAGAGGTCGATGAGCAACCACAGGCCCACATTTCGATGCTGAGGCACGCGAAAACAACATAAAGATCATGAGGTTCTTAAACCATAAAGCATTGATGAAGATGGTATCCTGAGGTATCCCCACCATAGCCAGCCTCCATGTCCGTGCGCATACCCCGTGAGAAGGTGTCCGCCGACAAGTGGGCTGTATCGCACAGCAGCGACGAGGCCAAGCGTGCGAAGAAGAGGGCGAGACAGGGTGTCTTGTCCAGGACGACCAGCACGGTGGTCGAGGGCACCAGGCCACCCCACGTGAGTGGCTCATGGTGGTGGCCAGGCCACCCCTGCCCGAGATGCGAGGTTCTGCAGGGCTAGCAACTCATGTGATAGAACATATCCACCCTGCCATCTCCCTTTTAAACCCTGCAGACTCTAGCTGGCGCGGGCGATGTCATCCTGCAGGCACTCCCTCCTGCGGTCCGTGACCCCTTGCAGCGAGCCTTGACCGACATGGGCACCTTCCTGCACCAGCTCTTTCACCGACAGCAGGCGAAACAGCCCGGGTCGAGCTCAAGACCAGGCAGGACTTGACCTCATGGTCATCGACATGAATCGGATGGGGATCACACATGCAGGAGAGGGGGGAGGTGAATGGCCTCGTCCCTGGTGCAAGCAAATCAGCCCGGGCCCATTGTAATACATGCACACCTAGCAGAGGCAGGCACCAATACATTGGAGCACCGCGCATGGCACTCGGGTGGCTGCGGCCCTCGCATGGCGGCCGTGCCCTTCAGCGCGCTACGCCTCCCTCATGTCCTGGCCCAGCCGTGGCACGGCCTCGTCCCAGGGCCCATTGATCTTGGCCTTGAATTTGTGGGCCCGCACCAGCCACAGCGGGCACAGCACTCCCAGGAACACTACGGCCAGCGCGAAGAGGGCGCCGGCGTGGCGCGAGGCGCCCCAGACCGCTGCCCCCGCCCCCGCCAGCGTGCCCGCCGTCAGCGCGGCGCGCGCGCCGGCGCCGGCGGCGCCCACCTGGCGCCGGGCGTAGGGCGCCAGCACGAATGCCAGCAGGGAGAGCAGGAGCTGGGCCGCCACGTCAGCCACGTCCCTCAACCTGCTCGCCACCAGGATGGCCGCCGCCAGGATGGCGGCGAGGCTGAGGGAGCCCTGCAGGGAGGCCGCGGGGCCGGAGGACGCCGGGCGGTAGTCGGCGAGGTAGAGGTGCGCCAGGGCCAGGCCCAGGACGCAGGCCAGCACCGTGTCCGAGGAGATGGAGAGGGTGAGCGTGGAGTACAGGGGGCTCATCAGCGCCGTGGCGGCGGCCAGCTGTAGCATCGCGGCCGCCGCGGAGCGCGGGTCGGCGGGCAGGGGGGCAGGGGCGGGGGCGAGGGTGCGGATCAGTGCCCAGCCGGCGGTGGAGAACAAGGCGCAGCGCAGCAGGAGACCCGTGCTCGTCAATCGACCCTGCGAGGGATGGGGTGGGCGGAGTGGGGGGGTGGAGACGGAGGGGAACAGGAAGTCGAGTGGAGGAGGGTGTGGGAAGGAGGCGAGATGCAGTGTGGCACGTCCAGGGTGCCTGCCAGGAACAGACGCAAGGTGAGTTCATGCAATCGGACCAGTCTAAACCACCCTTTCTCAATCCAAAAGCTATAATCAGGCTTTGGCAAGCACGCGACTCACGGTGTATAAATTGTGGGTGAGTGCGCCCACCCAGCAGACGGTGGCGAGCTGCTCAAGGACAGGGCAAGCCTGGCTCACAACTCGTGCGTAGCTCCGCACCGGCACACGGTCGTTGACGACAAGGGATTCCAGGAAGGCGGGACTGGTGTAGTTGTCGGGCCATGGCTGCTCCTTGTACAGTACCTTTTGCCAGGGCGAGGGAGGGGGCGGTGGGGGGTCGCCCCCAGGGGGCATACCCCGCCCGGCCCGGAATGGAAAGGCCTAGGGTGCCAGGGCGATGCAAGGAGTCGTCAAATCAGGCATTGAGACAGCCCAACATGTGCATTTTATGGCTGTGGCTGCAAGTTACATTGATCGGTGGGGTGTCGGGACTTCCTATCGCAGGTTCAAATTGGGGCGCGCGGGCGCGATGATTGGAGTTCTTCTTGCTGCCTTGATGCCACAGCAGTAGGCCATCGTACTGTACAACGTGAGGGTTTGCCTGCTTTCTGCCAACTTTGGAGTAGAATGGAGGCACCGTCAAGCGCGCCGGCTGCAGAACCGCAGTTTCTCGCCAGCGGCACCGGGACCGAACCGGCCCAGCCCTCCGCAACAGGAGACGGTCCATCCACGAGCAAAGCGCAGCTGGTAAGGGGGCTTAGCAGTGCTGGTTTTCCATGATCAAGGTCAAGACAGATCCTTACCCTCCCGATGGTTCCAACCTTCTCCGGCGTCAATCCTGTCCCACACCCCTAGATTCTCACTCTGGGAAGAGTGAAGACCCTGATCAAAGAGGACGCTGATGTCAAGTTTGTTTCCTCAGAAGCTTACTTCGCGATTGCCAAGGCGACAGTGAGTGTTGAGGGTTGGGACACAGCTGCTGTTGTCTCTCGAGCATCCCACCTTACCTGGTGGCACCATCAAGAGGCACAGCTGGGGTGATGTACCTGCTGTCTCTGGCAAACATCAGGCCGTTCCCTTCCCTCCTGGCGCACGCTCCAGTACCTCCTCTTGCCCACACCGCCTCCCAGGAGCTGCTTCTAGAAGCCATGACGGAACGTGCTGCTCAGCCAATGCTCCAGTCTGGACGGAGCCAATTGGGGTATGGCGATGTCGCCCAGGCGGTCTCCAGCTGGCAGTCGCTGGACTTCCTCGGGGACGTTATCCCGCACAAGATCCCCGCCGGCGTCGTGCTACAGAAGATGCTGGCCGCCAAGGCTGCTGCCGCCGTGGCATAGGCGGCTCCTCTATGGAGCAGAGTTGGGGGTGGTGCCCTTTCCAGCTTTGTGTCCCATGGGCATGCTCTCACAAGTGGATGCTCCACAAACTACCAGCCCCAAACGAGATGGAACTGGGACCAAGAGCCTCCCAGGCTTGTCCTTGGCCTCTCTTGAACTGCCATGACTCTGCAGGCATGCAACTGCGTGGGGCATCCCTGCTCTGTATGTGCGGACTGCTCAAGTATCATGTCAGGCCTCTGAAGGTGCTTGAGCTGGAGCACATGCCCATGCCTTACAGGGAACAAACATCGTGCTCCTGATGCAGGGAGGGTGCCGTCTACTCAGAGGAATCAGGGGGGGTCAAAGTGGTGGGCACATGCCTTGGAATTTCACCAAGTGCCTAACGCATGGATGCCAGCCAGATACGTTGGCGGTTGCAGGGTCGATCAGGCGGTGGTGGCAAGGACCTCGGGGGCGGCCCCGGCTCCTGCGTTGATCTTCTGCTCGCGGGCCGTGGCCTGGGAGCATGCAGCCTGAGCGACGCAATCGTGCCCGATGAAGTTCTGAAGTGGTAGTGATGAATGGCATCGCCGTGAGTCCCGGGTTGTGCATGCAGAGATCCATACCAGACAACGCAACATTTTGTGTGTCCAAGTGCATGCGCTGTGCCCCATGAGCACCCATTCTGGGTCTTGAGAAGATGACCCGGGCTCCCAAAACCCACCAGGAAGTTGAAGACGGCGATCAGCGTGAAGCCCACAAAGGTCAGGGTGAGGCGGGAGAAGAGGATTCCAGCGGCGTCATCCATGGCCTGCGGAGGGGCATGGGTATGGCATGAGGTTGCCAGAGCTCCACCACATGCACAGCGTAGCTTGGAAAATTGGTGATCACAAGCCCAGGTCCCCTCCAGCCGTGACACATACTCTCCCCCCCTGCTCACGGAAACACAAACACACACGCCGACCTTGAGGTTGTCGTTGGCAAAGAGCATGGCCAGGACGGTGGCTGTGGCGCCCAGGATGTGGATGCCCACCGCCGGGGTGCAGCTGCTCCGCGCGGCATTCAGGGTGGCGCCCGCCAGGTAGGCCAGCTGGAGGGCCCAGCCCCACCACTGGAAACGGTAGGTCTTCACGCAGGATGCGACGAGGGCATCCAGCACCGGCTCCTGGTCCAGCAGGAGCTTGCGGGAGTTGGTGCCCACCACGTCCCGGGACCAGCACAGGGACTGGAGGGCGGCCAGGCCGCACAGGGTCAGGGCGGTGGCGCACCAGCCCAGGGCCAGCGGGCCGTGGCGCAGCATCGTGTTCCTTGGGCAAGCCATCCTAAGCCTCTGTGGGTCGGTAGCGGTCGAGAAAAGGTCAACGCAGGGTGGCTGCTGGATTCAAGGAGTTTTAATCATTTGGAGTCTTGTATGGACAACCACAGTCATAATAATGGCCATGGCCAGCCTTCGAGGGCGGGATCTCGGTCAGACATGCCCGGTACGCACGACACCATGAACCCTCGCCCTGAGCTCCATCGCACCCTTTTCCTGTGTCAAATGACTCAAACAATACAAAGATGATAAAAACACGGTGTTGCCGGAGTGCTTTGCAGAAACGGTACGTATGGGCCAGGGTCTTCGTCTCCACGGTCATCTCGACCGTCGTTTTCCGGATTGCGGGCTTGAGAAAGAAAGTGGTGGGTTTGTGCTAAACGCTCGGTCCTAAGGCAGCCCGGGCCGACCCATGCCTCAATAAGGGACACAAATGCTAATGATGGCTCGGAAGGTCTCCAACGAGTCCCCGCTAGACCCGAAGCCTTTTTCCCACTTCGCGAGGCTTGCAGGGGCTAGTCGGGGTACGCACACATGTTACGAAGCAGCGTTTTAGCCTAAATTAGTAAAAAATGGGTGAGGAATCGAGGGCAGGGGCGTTCCACTGCAGTCCGGGCATCTCCGTGCTGCCTGACGGGCCCCCGTTGGGCTTGACGAGGCCAAGGGGGAATTCCTCACAGCCGTTCCCATCACCAGGCCCCAGATGCCAGCCACCCACAAACCACCTGCCTGGATGCTGGCCGCATTGATGGCAAACATGGGATGCACAGCAAACCTATGGTCGCCTTGGCCTTCATTTGCCAGCAGAAGCAGTCTGCCGCCTATTGCCATTCCCCCTCTCGAGATAGGGCCGGATATGGCGTACTCCCCCGTCAAGATGCCGCGCAAAGATGATGGCCTCCTCTGTCCAGCAGGCAGCCCAGATTGCAGCTTCCGTCAGGACGTAGTACAGTGCGCCGCACTCCTCCAACCAATCATTCTCTGCGATCAGGGTTATCCAGATTGCGAGAGTCTAGAATGCTTCAGTAAACACTGGCTGGCCCTCACCTAGCAAGCCCAGGTTGCCAGGGATGGTCAGGAGTGATGTGTGTGTGCTATTTCTGTCCATCATGTGTAGGATGGTAGCTCTGTCTGCTCTTTGGGGTAAAGACATATGGAACTGAAGCCGGGACAAGACAGGTTTCAAGTGGCAGGTCTGCCTCTGGCACCTGCCCATTGCTGCGCCTTCAGCCGGTGCTGGCCTTGGATGCTGCGATGCGCCCTCTGTTATTGCTAGGAAAATTGGATCCATCATCGGCTCGATGCGTCAAATTAAAAGGACATCCCCGCCGGTGTCTCCCAGTTGTGTTGATGTGGGCCAGTTTCTACAGATACTTCATTATATGGCCAAGGACATGACATGGCGGCTGCTACTTTTCAAATTTGTGCAGGAGGCGGAGGCATGGGTCCCCTTGCAGTGGCCCTAATAGGATCTTTTTCGGTGATTGACGCAGTTTGCAGCATATAATCAGCATACAAGCGGGGATGGGCAAAGAATATAGCACTGAATACAATGGTTTGAAAAGAGTGCATCAAGGCAATTCAAGGAACACAAGTATTGATGTTTCTCTTAGCCCATGTGTTCACTCCTCAGCGGCAGGGAAGCTTGCCCTAGGAAACACTAATAACTGAGCCGAAAGGGTCCCGATGGGCATGCGGAGCTGCTGGGGCAGCAGGCAGCAGCGCGGATGCAGAGCTGAATTACCGCCCTGGGAGCGATCACTGTGCATGATGTCCAATGTTTCTTTGCACTCGAAATGAGCCTCAATGTGTCATTTCTGAATTGTACTGCTTCATGCAGTGAGCCTTCAGGAGGTCGTACTCTAGGACAGGTCGCAAATATACAGCATCCGTGGAAGTTGTGACAGAAGTCATTCCTGCCCAATCTGAGAGGGCACGATGGCCCACAGCTTAAGCATCTATTGATTTTGCATGTGTGTCTTAATTGAATTGAATCCGCCAACTGATTGAATGTCGGTGTGAGTCCTCTTGTCGCCCGGGGATATGGCAGGAAGCTGCCTCATCGTGTCCGGGGCCTCCCATGTCCGGATAGGAGCGAGAAAGGGGGGGTGGGGGTAAGATGGACATACAAGCGACCTCGGTATACGTAATACTAGCTCAAAAATCTTTAATTTATTTTTCTCCCAAGGTACATCGCGGTACCCATCTGGTGGACGTTGAGGCCCTGTACGGGTTTGTGCGGCAAAATGGCGCCGCGTGGGCAGGCTACCCTGATGAGCTACGCGCTTCTTGTACTAAGCCTTGGTGTATTCTCAAGGGTGAGTCAGATGGAAGTTCTTACTATACGAAGCTGTTTGGGAAATGTATGGTGCGCGTATCCATCTATGTTCAGTTGGTGACGTCCGCCAGCCCACCATCTTTGCCGCAAGGGTGCTTGCTCGACAAAGTTCTTCCCGCTCCCAACTGTTACATGAGCAAGGCCATTCACATATGACTGTTTTTTCAGGGCTTGATGCTGTCGAAGTTTGCTCTCTGAGAGTCTAGATGCTGCTGTCCGACGGGCAAGATTCGCCTCGTACAGCCCGGATGTACAGCGTCCGGGCCACGGAAGCTGGATCCTCAACCAACACCAACACCCCCAAACACCCCTTGTTCTCCCATAGGTACGGACCCCACGTGTATATGCTGGAGGCCAGCAGCGCAGATGACATTTGCAGGTTCGTCCTGAGTTGGGTCTGGTCTTGGTCCTGGAATGCAGATCCAAGCCAGTGACCGACTCAAATGGGTGGTTCCTTCTAATGAATCCCCTCCATCACAAGCACAACAGGTGGATGGGCTACAGCAAGGCGGGGTCGATTAGGGGGACAACCCTTCACGTTCTTGGCGTTTCTGCCAGCGCCATCAAGATGACGCCCTTTGAGATCATCAAGGAGAGGTCCACCAGGATGCTGGTGGCCCTCGAATGCCTCAAGGCAGGACAGAAGGCTTGCACCGCGGACAAAGATGGAAACATTGGAACCGGGAACAAGGGGAAGAACAACTTTGGTGACTATAACAACGGCAACAACAATATTGGTGTGCAGGCTTGGGAAATCGATGGTATGGCACTGGGGTCCTGATTGTTGCACAAGCTGGGTGGAGAGATGCGCCATGCATGAGTATGACCTTGCTCAACGACAGCATCCCGACTCTATCGTGCGCAGGGAGCTACAACAAGGGATACCTGAATTGGGGTCTCAACAACAAGGGCACAAATCTGCGGTGCAACAACGCAGTCGGAAGGCGGACGACGATCCTCAATTTCTGCAACGTGAAGGAACTTCGCAAGACAGTGCTTAGGGACTACAATCGACCGCCACCTTCACCGCCCAAGAAGGCATCCCCTCAACCCTCCAAGAAAGCCGCCCCCCCTCCTCTCAAAATTGCATCCCCGCCGCCTCCCACAAAGGCGTCCCCGCCACTCTTTCCAATCGGATCACTGCCTCCACCAACATCTCCCAGCCCTCCGCCCTCCTCACCGCCCCCAAACCCTCCACCACCATCCCGACCACCCAGCCCTCCACCACCATCCCCACCACCCAGCCCTCCACCAACCTCACCGCCTCATAGCCCTCCACCATTCCCACCGCC